TGACAGCAGGAGTCGGCGGCTCTAAGCATCATCATCCTATGCAAATCTCATGAGCCTTCCTCTGCACATCACCAAGCACCTACTTGGCAGGATAGGTCTTGATGTCCTAACACAGCCAATCAGAGACGCTGAAGCACAGGGGAGGATGGAGACGCAATCACATTAATTTGCTTACTTGCTTGCTGATTGTGACAAGAGAAGGGAGGAAGCTGAGAGGCTGAGAGGCTGAGTGGGACAGCGAAGCGTGCTGTGTGATGAAGTCACAGCAAACAGCCTATAAACCTAGTTGCATATTGTTCCATTCCAACAAGTTACTATTGCTTCAGTAAACAAACCTACAAAGATCTGCAGTACCTACAAATCTCCACGTCTCAGAAAAAGGCACAGAAGTGATGAGGCTTAAAGGGGAAGATTGACATCTGACATCTTGACAGATAAGTCCATCAGGTCAATGACGCTTTGTTAAAGGATAATTCCACCAATTTTTCAAAATGTCAGTATAATTAAATGATCAAGATGTAAATGAAGTCATTCAGAGTGACTTGATGTGAAATGCACCATTCTAGAGAAATGTAAAACAGCCTTGAGAGAATTGTTCACGCTACATCACAAAAAGCTAATCCATGAAATGGTTATGAATATGCTTCCTGGTGTCTGAGACATTGTTTTACAATAGTTTTGACATTGGGGTTGCAAAACAGTCCTCAAGGATTTTCAGATTTACCACTATTTTACCATTTTCAACAGTACATATAAAAACTTGTGTAGGCTCACTGGTGGTTTTAGATAGTAAACAGAATAGTTACATTTGCATCATAGACATTGAGAAGCCTGGTTCCTAACACCACCACTGAAAAAGAAATCTGAGTCTTTAAGTTCCTCTACAATGAGCCTTTTCACACCAAAAGACTCTGTTTACATTTCAACTATTCAATTCTGAAGAATTTTTTAAAAATCAGTATTCCCTTTTAATTCCCCTTGAACATCTCTCTTTCTCACACATACCTACATAAATATATCAAACAATAATGAGTAGCTGAAAGTAGCTAAAAAGTTATCATGGTCGTCTTGCACAAAAGATGTTTCTTTTCCCAGCAAATTCCTCAATATTCAGCACTTTTTTCAGAATTTTTCTGCTAAATATTGAGGGCATCAAAACAACTCAATATATCAACCATGCATCCTCACAGCATATGAGAAGATAAAAGTACATTGAACGTGTTCAACTATGATGCATTACATTAAAGCTGCACAACATCATTTTTGGTTTGAATTGAATGAAGTAGCATTAGGAGGAAAAAACAAGCAGTGTGCGTGTGCTGCTACAAGTCATCCTGAAAAGCCTGAAATAATTTAAAAGTCAGTGGCGTTGGATCAGATTTTTGACCACGTCACACATCTTTACATATTAATGTCACAAGCCCAGGCTTAACAAGAAGGTTTGGCTCAACGTGTAGATCTCAAATGCAAAATCAACAATATACTGATGCAGATATAATGTCAACAGATAACTCAGTTATATCCTCAGAAGACACGCCTTTCACCAAGTTTTCACTGAGTTCTCTTGAATATACAGGCAAATTGAAACATGAGATTCGGCTGCTTGGGAAAGGGCTCCGAGCCACATACATTACGAGATGTTCTTCCGCACATTGTGTGCAATTACACATTTTTCCACCAGAGAGGTCCAAATCCCCCAAACTTACATAGTGTAGTTTAAAGTAGCCATAGTGATTAAGTGGGGATGCAACAATACAACAAATCACTATAAAGCCAAATCAGTGAGCCCATACCCTTGCTCCTTCATAAATCAGGTAATAAAACAATTATAGAGCTCTTTAATGTATTTACATGTCATCAAAGTAAGCTTTAAAATCAAAGTAGATTTTAAAGTCCATCCACCAAGTCTGTCAAACAGGTAACACTGACAAACAGAACTTATGAGCTTCAAGGTTATGTTGTTTGCTTAAGCTATGAGCTGAATACAGGGCTGTAAACATGACGTGAAAGAACTCAGTTTTTTAAAAGGTTACATCTGGTGTCACGCTTCTGAAAGAAAGCATAAAGCATCCTGCTGGCACATAGGGCTCTGAACCCCAGTAAACGTAGCCAGAAACTGTAAGAAATCTGTCATACTGTAAAAACATCCAAATAGAAACATTCTCACCATTGACTGCTTCAGTGAGGCTTCAGTGTCCAACATAGATATTGGCTGGAAGGACACTCAGTAGGAAATGCAATTTACATGCAAATACACACAAACTCCGCCTGTTTTATCATTGGAACTACTACTATTCCAACTTGGCTATCATCATCTGCATTTTTCTGAAAACTACAGGAAAACTTTACTAAATCTTCTGGAATTTGATAATTTACATTTACATTTTTTGGCAGCGCACTGGGTGAACAGGCTAAATTTATCAGATGAAAGGTCTGTGACCAAGTCATAACATTGCCAAATGTGAAATGACAGAGCTAGCATAGCTTACAATCTTCTGCAGGTAAGGGTGTAACAATTGCCATACAGTACCAAAAATGGGATATCCTGGATTTCCTGTCTCACAACAGTGGATCACCTTTTACTGGGCTACATCACCATGCAGCAACTTTGGGATGCGATCATAAACAGCTCCCCAATCAGGGACAGTGTTCTGATGGAGGTGAACACCTGCTGTCCATTTTGGGTCACTTTTTTTTTCTTTGTAATATTTGTAGTGACAATCACATGAAAAATGTCACTTTTCAGTGGAGGAAACAAATCATACCACATAGATATGAAGAGTATAAAGCAATTATTACTCCAATAAGCACTAACACAGTGGCAGTGACGACAGTGTTGGTTTTTAACATTATAAATACTTTATAATTATATATATTTATAATAAATACTACATAATTTATAAATTATGACTTATTTTTCTGCTCCTGCTCACATCTCTTGCAAGTGGATATTTACCATAAACATTACACTTTAACATACATGTTCAAGTGGTGCACACTCAGTTTGCTGATTGTAACTGAGTGTTGTGTGGTGGATATAGATTAGATGAAGCTGAAGTTAGCTTCTTATTCTTATTTTCCATTCCACCTTAAATGATGAGCATTTACATTCAGATGCCTGTATGGGCGCTAGTGTCTAACTGTTGCACTATTTAAAGTGAAACAGAAATTTGAATAAGAACCTAACATCGGGCTCGAAAGATTATTGTATCAAATTCAGTGCAATAGTGTGAATCTGGTAAATAGAGGCAGCGCTCTGCAGAGTTCATTACTATTTTTTGTATTACCAATAGTGCCATCTCTATACCTGCATCATGTGAAGATGGACAGAACTGTAAAAAAAAACAATGTGGCACTGAGAAGACAAGAATGAAAAAACTATTTGAGAAGGATGAGGACATATCTGAGTAGATGGCAGTGAGAAATGCTGACCTTAACTTAGCCAGCAGTTTGTAGCATATTGAAGACTGTGATTATTATGTCAAATTCAAGATAAAGGTTTTCACCAGTTTTCAGTGTAGATTATAAATAACAAATAACAGTAAGAAATGAAGATGATGAAAATGTACAGATTTTAGAAAAAAATAGTTTTGCGTGAAGTGTGTGTGTGTGTGTGTGTGTGTGGCAAGAGAAATACAGTAAGAGTTTGCGGTGGGCAAAACAAAAAAAAAAACAAGTCCCAATCCAGGCTTGCAGAGAAAGTTGTTAATCAGCATCATAAATGTTGTGATGCTGATGCCAGTTACTTGCTTTTTATATTCAAGTAATTATAATAATGTTACAAGAAAATACACCATAAACCTGCTGTCCTCATAATTTTTCACAAACTACTTCTTCTTCAAAGATCTTGTAAAAAGTATTACTAGATATAAATTGTCTTAAGAGGATACAGTATAATAATAACAATAATAATAATAATAATAATAATAATAATAATAACAATAATAATAATAATAATAATAATAACAATAATAATAATAATCAAATGTATTTTATACTTTTATTTTATTAATTTATTTTATTTACAAAATATCAAAGTGAATATAAGTAAAACACTAGCCTAACAAAAACGCTATGGCTGTAAATGAAAACAACATCACAATTACAAACAGTATAAATGGGCCACAATACTTCTAGACATATGCTGAATAAAAACAAATGTTCTTAGCCTGGATTTAAGAACACCTTTTGAGCTTGCTTTCCTAATATTCTCTGGAATAATTTAGTTAATTGAGGTTTTAAGAAAACAATCTTCCACCAACTGAGCTGTAAATGATCTAGGCGTTTGCAGTAAGCCTGCCACAGCTAAGTGATGCAGATCATTAGAAACTAAGAACTTTAAATGTCATAAGCAAGACCTTGTGTGCAATGTGCAACCTAACAGGAAGACAGTGTAAAGTAAACAGGACCAGAGCAGTATGTTTAAAACTTTCTTTTCCTGGTAAACACAGGCTTATAATCTGAACTGAGACAGCAGGGCAGTTAGTCTAATCTAGTTACAAGACTGTAAATACAATTTGTATTTTTCTGAGCCAAACCAGTCTGTGGTACAGAATCAGAGCTCTGAAGAATCGACACGTTTCAACACGGAGAATCGTGTCTTCGCCTCAGTACCGAGTATCGTCTCAGCCCCTCAGGAGGAGTCAGAACAGCAGCTGAAGGTTTGGCCAGTGTAAAAGAATTCGGTGCCATGTTTTCCAGCAACAACGAATTAACTACAGCCCGGCGAACACACGACACCACAGACACGAACAGCGACAACCAGCCTCGCCCTCTCCACACATTTCAAAACGACTAACGTTAACAGAGTGACGCGCGAGCTCTTCTCCTCGGAGCGGAGCGCGGAGCCGGGACTGTTTCAAACGCAGCCCCGTGAGCCTCAACGCTCGCCTGGCTCCCGTAATGGCGCGGCAGGGTTCTCCCCTCCTCCTCCTCCTCCACCTCCTCCTTCTCTCTCTCCTCCTCCCTCCTTCTCTTCCCCTTAAAAGAAATGAACTTACTTTTCTCTGGCTTGGCTGTCGGACGGCACGCGCACGCTCCTGCTTCTGGAGTACATGCTGGAGCCCCGCTGACTGCCGCGCACCTGTCAGCTCATCACGCACTCAAGCCGGACACCGTCACCATGGCGACTCACGCAGGGTCTCTAGCCATTGGCTGGGCGACGACGAGAGCACGCCCCGTTTCTGTAGCTCTCCAGTAATCAGCCACAGCGAGGCCACGCCCTTCCAGGCGCCCCCGCGTGGCCTTAAAATGTCACCTCGCATGTTGGCAAAGTGACCCCGCAGGAGCCGAAGCGCTCCGGCAGAACGCACACATACAATCGTGTACTCTTCCCACATGGGGGGTTTTAAAACACGACCCTATTTTCAACATTTAGCCCCTTGAAAAACACGTCTGTAGACGCCTGCTCCACAACCAACCAACGTTTCTTCCGAAACAAAAAGGGGAATTCCACCGATTTTTCAAAATTTCAGCAAAGAGATGCCAGCAAGAGTGCTTTCATGTGAAATGTGCCGTTCTAGATAAACTTACCAAGTGTGAGTTCTTTACAGTGGCGTTGATAGGAACTAGCGGCTGCCTTGTCTCCAGCACAAAAATAGCCATTTTATTTGTTATATAAAACCACCAGTGTTCCTACACGTGTATTTGTAATGGTGATGATGGAAGTTTTTGTTAGGTACTACTTTGCAATGCGATGCCCTGCATGTGCCCCTCCACTTCAAATGTATTTAAAATATATATGTTTTAGTCCAAAATCTTCTCAAAACTTTCAGAAAACAATGTCTCATGTAATAACTTTCTGTGATGTAGCTTTTAGGGACATTAAACTCTTCATCTGGTTCCTGTCACCACCACTGCAAAAAGTCTGACTCAGTAAGTGTCTCTAGAATGGAGCATTTCACAACAAACCACTCTGATTGACATCTATTGGAATGCCTTTGTATGGCAGTAATACAGTGGGCAGTTGAACACAGGTCAGTAATATGTGCACCTTAAATAATTAAAAAATAAATAAATAAATAATTTATATATTATATATATATATTTAAACCTACCAAATATCACCCTGGCTTGATTTCAACAGGTAAGTGTTAACTACTTCATAATATATGAGCAACACACAAAAACTTAAGATGTCTTTAAGAAATGCAGAATGAACAGTAGGGTGCCATGTATAGGGGATGTTATTAGTAGATAAATATTCCAGTACAGTAAGATCATTTCTACATTAAGACACCTCTAAAATGGCATAACCCCCAGCTAGTTTACTACATGCATACAAGGTGAAGAAAGCTAGGTACTAGAAAACTCAGTACCTTTCAAATAAACTTTCTTTCCTTTTGTAAAAGCAACAAAATCATTGCTTTTCTTCTGCTGATAATTTCCTGGATTCTTTAAACTGCAGGCTTATTATTAATCATTAATCTTGAGATTGAATCTCAGCAACTACTATAAATTATTGCAAAACTAACGTGAAACGAATATGTAAGGGGCAGTTATGAGACTGAGAACATTTTATGGATTAATTTGCCAAAATTTCAATTTATTTCCTAAAAAGTAAATTATTGCAATTACCTGCAGTAACACAACTTAGATGTGTAAGTCTCTTAGGTTACATAATATATCTGGCATTATTTCATGCTCAGGAAACATCACAAAACCCCAAACACAACAAATCCTGCAACAGATCCACTAATATTGTTACATATGACTCATAATTATGAGTCATATATAATATTGCAGGTAAATATGTTACTTCAAATTGTAAATGGTAGTGTTCAGATTGGGTGATTTGTTTTCTTAATTGCTACTTTATCAGGACAGCACAATGAATTAACCTCCATTTTCCACTTCTGCACCATGATTACCCATAAACACTTTGTCTAGGAAAGTCATTAGCTTTCCTCTCCAGTAATGAGATCACTTGGGTCTTGAATATATCACATTTGGCCTTTTGTTTGGCAACATTTTAATGTGTTTCTTCTCCCACCCAGCATCTCCCACCCATTAGAAACCAAAAATAATTGGTTGATTCCTCTGTCACGTCTTAATTATGCTGATAGTTAACACGTTAGGACTTTTCTTCAGCTCTTGAAGTCATAACCAGTAGGACAGCTCCCTTACTAAGGGGTTTCCCTCTGCATTTGGCAGACACTCTCATCCAGAGCAGCTTCTACTAATGTTACATATATTGTAGAGTTGGGATTCTTTCCCAGGGATGCTTATGACAGGATATGCTGGTCTGGATGGGGAATTAAACCCCAAAGTGCTTGGTAGAAAGCAGAGGTGTTACCCACTATGCGACATAAAGCACTAGCTAAAGCCCAGAAAGGTGATGGCTAGTACTGCTGCCTTGCAGTACTAGCCATCACCTTTCTGGGCTTTAGCTTGGCCTGGAGAGCTACCTTCAGGCAGAGTTTAGTTACAACCTGTATCCAATAAGCTGCCCTGCCCCCACTTACTTAACTCTAATACATCTGGTCCAGCCAGTCAGGGACTTGGAAAGATGTTGGTTAGCTGGAGCAGGTCAGGATATTTACCATGCAAATATAACTATTTTATTAATGATTCAAAAGCACCAGTGAACCTACACGCACCTGCTGTGTCTTTATATGTAATACTGGTAATGGTAAAATAATGTTAAATCTGAAAAAAGTTTTCTTAGGCACTATTTTGCCCAATATATATGCTTTAGGCCAAAACTTTATCATAAAACTATGGAACCACCACTGTGAACAAATCACTCTAGAATGGAGCATTTCACAATGAATCACTTTGAATGACCACTCAGTTGTGCAAAAAAATCCCCTTTAAGACCAAACTCAGCACTCCAACCTTATCAATAGCTGAACTGCTTAAACATAGTGCCTTACAGTTCAAAATGCTCTTTTGCTTTTCATGCTCAGTAACACACAGACATTTCAAATAAGCACACAACATTTTCTCACTTTGTACTTATTTTTACAATCAGCATTTGGGTCAAAGCAGTTGCAGGTCATCACAAAATATGTAGGATATACTGTGTATTTTTTCATTCAATTGTTATGAGTTATAGCACAGTCTTTCATGACTGTTTTCACTGTCTTTATTACTTATCAGTACTTCAGTGTGAGTAGAAACTATGGCTATTGGAACAATGCAGTGCAATTCTTTTCTTACTTATGTTATGAGCATACATACAAGAAACATTCATATTCACTTGTGAAGGCATGTTCCTTACAGTAATATGAAGACATGTTCCTGTATATGATCAACTTTGAATGACTTGCCTTTTATCTTACTATCTAAAGAAGAAAAGCAGTAGTCACAGTGCTACTGTGGATGGCTATTAAAGATTTCACAGTAGGCCGCATATCTATTGCTTAAGTTTACTGTAAATAATATCCGAAGAAAGACTCATTTTCATATTGGAGCAACATTTACATGATGTTCATTACCAAAGCTACTAGGCATAGCAAGCAGTTCTTATTATTCACAAGAATGGGCGATGCCTGAGGGTGGGCAGGAGATAATCTTGAACAGGGAAAGTAGCTTTTGGGAAATAATTAGGTGGATGAGTGCCAAAGTAATTATAAGCTCTGTTAGTCATCTTTCCATTTTCTCCAATTTCAAAAATCACCTGCAGGCCTGTAGTGGAATAGGATACAACTTGTTTTTCATTCTGCAGATATTTTTAGCCAAAGAACACAGTGAAATAATTTATTATGACTTGACTGCCTTAAACCGCATATCAATACCATTTCAACAACTGACATTTATGTCAAATTCAATCATTTGTAATAACTACAGAATTTTGTATTTATAATTTTGGAATATATCAGCAATGATTTGAAAGATGGGAATTTGTAGGTGTGACCAACCAACATGTTACATGCTGGTATTTCAATAGGTCAATGGTTTTCAGTCTGTATGGGAAGCGTGACTCAGTCACAGGTGCATTATCTTTAATAAACCTTTACTATCCTTATACACATGTTTGTGACAATTAAAAGCCCTTTTTTCTAGTTGTATCTTAAAAATAAACAGAAAATAGAATCGTGAATATGTAGGAGGAACAATAAGGAAAAAGAAATACATACAAAGTTAAGTACCATTTACATTACACAAGTATTAAAGGAGTTGGAGATGGAATAAAACTTAATATTCAACAATGACAGTATAAAGCTACATAATGCCACATGCAGCATGAAATTAAGATCACAGTTCAATTCAATTCAAATGCAGTTTAAGATTATTATTATTCTACATACATGAGCATACAACGTAGCTAAATGTGTTTGAGCTATTTTAAGTCATACAAGGCAACATAGACTATACAAAAGATTTGCAATTCACATGCAGTACCACAGTGGTGAAGAGGTGTGCAGAAACTTTACTGAACACAGTGTGAATTGATGACTTTATAATAATGCTAAAAGTTCACAATAACAGTATAGCAGCACACACAGAGACATTTGTGCAATGCTGTCTTCTTAAAGCCTTTTGCACTGACAAATGGTTTGAATGAGTTTTGAATCCAATTTTCTTTTAGCTTTTTTTTTCAGTTTTGAATCTAATTCAGATTTTCTTGAGAATCTGAATATTACAGCCAGATGTTTATAGATTAGGTTTGGAGTTCTGCATTAGAGTAGGTCTCCAGATGCATTGTTTGGCATGACTTTTGCAGATGCTTCTATAGCTGACAGGCCTGATACCTCTAAAATCTCTAAAGCCAAAAGAGACATGCATTAGAGGGGTAGGTATGGCACTAGTGGAACTGAGTCTGAGACAGCAGCAGATATAGCATATATATATATATATATATATATATATATATATATATATATATCTCAATGGAATTCCTCAGTGCAGGACTTGTCATCACTGCCATCATGTGGCTAATCATATGTCTTACATTTTCAAAAACTTCTTAAAGTTTTTGATCAATCTGTTGATTATGTAAGTTTTCAAAGCCTGGTCCTCAAGGGCAACAGCAAACTGTAAATGCAACTGCAATAATAAAGCTGCATTTACTAGAGATAAAAGTTCAAGTTAACCTAGCATTAAGAAAAATGTTGAATGTACTATCAGTGGTTAATTGTCATACAACTGTCAGTGGTTGTAGTTCACAGATATAATATAATATAATATAATATAATATAGGCAACTTAAGTTGCATAGCATATTTTATACACAAGGGCGATTCACAAATCAAAACATTAAAAGTCAATTAAAGACAAAGTGCTTAAGTGTTGTTAAAACTTAAATGAAAATAAAATTATAAATGAACATAAATAAGACAGGTAATAACTAAATACAGATTAAAGTTGCAACGGTGAAAATAAACAGCAGTAAGAATAAAATCTTAAGAAACAAGTCTTAGAGCTCAATTACAAGCACACGAAAAAAGAAATGTTTTAACCTTTATTTTAAGAATTGTTATATTTGGGGCACATCTAAGACCTGGGAGCTGGTCCCACCTACAGCATTAAAGCTACATGCCGCTTCCCTCTTAATCAAGTATAATTTTATTATATTAAATTGGATTATTATGTTATACAATATTATATTATATAATATAGCTGAACATGCTCAAAGAGTACTCTAACATGTTGAGGAAGCCAACGTAGTTAATGTAAAATGGACATTTTTCTTTTATACAGTGATGGCATTTCAGAGTAAAACACACTATCATGGAGGGTTGCTACGAGATTTCTTGTGACAATAGGTGGGTGTGATTGGAAGGAGGAACATTTTTTATTGGCTAATATTACTTTCCCCGCCCGTTGGGGCACAGTGACATCATAAAAACTCAGACAACATTTTAGAGGTGAGCAAAAGTCATGAGAGTACTTTTCCAAAGTAACCATCATGAAGTCAGAAAAGAGCAAACTGCCTTAAAATCATCTGATAAACATGCGTGACATATATCTCAAGTTTTACCTTAAAACTTTCTAAACTTTTTTAAAGTAAACTCAACATTTACAGTGCTTAGCATCTAGACAAGCACATGAAGAGGGGACCATAGTCTTGTGGTCAGTGTTTAAGTTATCTCTGCAAATATGTATAAATGTGTGTTGGGATAAAACTGTACTTTTTGTTTATGGTTTCAGACAAGTTTGTCTTCACAAGGGACTTACGCAGGTCTAAAAGCAGGTGAAATGATCATAAACCTACATTTTATCCATCCACAGTGATTTACTCCACATACATAAGAGGGTGAAATCATATTTGAATGATTCCTACATACATTTGTATCTTTATTAAGTAAATTATTCTTAATTATTTATTTACAGATGCTGGCACTCTTACTCCTTTCATCTAAATTCATTTTGTATTATTATTTCTTGTTACATCCCAAAGAGGATGGCAAACATCTGCGTGTTAGATCCTCTCAAAGTTTTTCACTTTTGCCATGATTGAGAGTTTTTTCTTAGCTACTGTTACATTGTGTTTGCTCATTATGGGGCTTGGATTTCTACAGTGCTGTCTGTGGGAGAGATTTTGAATGCTGGGGAATATTAGGAGAATAACTGGTGTGGTTGGAGTAGCACAGCTTGTATTAACACTGCACATGTGGTAGGCCCGGATTTGATCCTCTGCCCAGGCAAGCACACCATGCTACATCAGTAACATGATTCAATTGTAAGCTGGTTTTGTTTAAGAATAGTCCACCACTTGGAGGGGATTTTCCTTGAGAAGGTTATTGTGACTGAGACAAAAGACACCAAAGCATCTTAGGAAACCTGAAGACCCGAGGTCAAAAAGTGCTCAAAAGTGACTGTGATGAGACCCATGTGGACATAACCATTGTGGAGTGAATAACTAGCTGCTTTAGCTGCTTTTTATTGTTCATTATTTGTAATATTTAGAAGATTAATCATAATAATACCTTTTGTATGAATAAGTGATAAATGATGCATGTGTTGTCTAATGTACATGTAATTTGCATAACAGTAGCAATGTTCTGCTTAGACAGAGAAAAAGAGAGATCTTTGTATATTACAGCATTATTCTGCTTCACTTTGACACCCTTTTACACTGTAGAATGAATGGGGAGATTGCAGAAAATGCAGTTCTGTTGCTTCACAGCCCAGGACTGGGCAGCTTCATACATCTCTAGCCAATGCTTGGCACTGGGCATGGTGACCTTAGGCTCGTGATGAGCTGCTCCAGAACCTCCAGTTCTATTGGCAATGCTTTCTATGCAGATTATACAAAGTCTGTGTAGCTTAAAGTAGTAATACGCTGATTAGAAGGTGTATCTAAATACTTTTTACCATATAATGTATCTCTAATGTTGCTGACTTTATTAAATTGCTGTGCATCCAAAACTCTTTAATATAGTGAGTTGCACAGTTCTCCTATGAGAGGAAAAGGAAGAAGGGGAACAGTTAATATGTTGGCCACAGCTTCTTTTTACAGTGTTCACATTTCATTAAACACAAAAAACTTACTTTGGGACTGTAAACACTAATTAAGCTGGTTATTTCTGGCACATCAATTACAGACACAAGTTCACAGCAACTTGCAGCACTGATTAGAGCATCTATTCCAGAGTTAATTAGGAAAATAACTATTTATTTCCATCTTGTCATTTACTTTTCAGGCTTAAAGCCCAGAGCTCACCGTTCCACTGTTCTCCAACAACCATCAACAAACCCATAAGGTAGGTGGGGTTGGGGAGGTGCTTTTTCACATGATGGAAGGTAAATTTGTGATGATGAAGGTACATAGTCTATATTATTGATGACGTATGTCTGACAGTGACTTTTTCATGAAATCTCCCGGACTAATGATATTGTGCTGTCTCTAGGCTATAACAGACTGGATGTGTGAATGAAGACACACCGCTTGTTAATGATACTGTTTGTATTTTATTTTTTAGTATTAACTTGCAAGCCATTAACTGTATGACAATATGATAACTCTAACTGCAGGTATACTTTTTCACCTAGTTTTACGTTTGAATTGCTGTATGTAGGCTTAGCCTCCTGACATTGCCCCCACACACACACCTGTCAGGCCAAATTTGCATCCCTGAGACTCTCAAAAATATGGCTGTCTGACCTACAAACTATAACTGCAATTGTATTATACAAGGGAAAAGTCCATGTATGATGACCCTGATCTCACTGACAGGTTGGAAATGTGTTGCAGAATTAAGTTGATAAAATTATTCATTTATGTTTAGTGTGGTTTCCACATTTCACAGTGGTCCATTTAGCTCAGCAGTTCTTATTGTGATACAGAATAAAGCTGACCGCCAACATTAGAGTTTTGGAGTTTGAATATTGAGGCTTAAGATTTAAAGGCCACACTGTGAGGTGTATTGTGACTCCATTAATGAATATTTTGAGCCTCACAGCAGATCAAACAACATGTCTGTATCCTACTGACACCAGTGCTCTGTGTGCTCCCTTAGCTTCCAAATCAACCAGTTAACCAAATTCAGTTGACTATTGGGTTCCATTTCACTAGCCACACCCAGACATGATTACTGCCAGATCTGTTGAATCTAAACATCACTTAAATAGAACCTGTCTGGCAATGTGAGGCAGGCTAAAATGTCTCAAAAAGCAGCACATGATGCCACATTCTTCAAATACAGCAGCAAAACAAAGTCATTGAAATCTACCTGTCTGGAAAGGGTTACAAAGCCATTGATAAGGCTCTGGGACTCCAGTGAACCACAGTGAGAACCATTATCCACAAATGAAGAAAACCTGGAACAGTGAGGAACTTTCTCAAGAGTGGCTGTCCCACCACAATTTCAGCAAGAGTGCATCTACGACTCATCCAGGAGACCACAAAGGAACCCAGACGAACATCTAAAGAACTACAGGTCTTACTTGCTTTAGTTAAGGTCAACGTACATGATTCCACAATAAGAAGGACACACTGGGCAAAAATGACATCCATGGGAGAGCTGCAAGGCGCAAACCACTGCTGACCAAAAGGCTCGTCTCGCATTTGCCAAAAAAACATCTAGATGACCCCCAAGACCCCAAGAGTCAAAGGTGGAACTTTTTGGACCACATTACACCATTCCATCAAACCAACAGTGAAACATGGCGGTGGTAGTGTGATGGTCTGGGGCTGCTTTGCTTCGGCACGACCTGGATGACTTGTCATAACTGATGGAACCATGAATTGTAACCTGAACTTAATACAGATACTTTATTTCTGTATTCTGAATACGTGTTCCCAATATTTGTATTCCATTACATCCTAAGTCGAGACGAGATACCAACCGAAGAGCGCAAGGGGGGCGGGGCTTTCCTGAATACAGGTGGAAAAAACAACCCCGAGTCCTTCTCGCGAGTCCTCGGCTGCAGTATGTGTATTAAATGAAAACCTCTTCCACCACTTACTACTCGGACTGACAGCGATGGCGTTCACCGTGAAGAAACTGTCCATAACTATTGATCCGGTAAACGACAGCAATACATTTACCAACGGAGACTGTCTGTCAGGCCGAGTTACTCTGAAAGTGTCGAAGGAAACTCATATCCAGTGTTTCTCTATCAAAGCCAAAGGGAAAGCGTCTGTGTTGTGGTCTGAACATTACGGGAAATACGGCACGGTGGTCTACCACGATAAAGAAACCGTCTTCAAATCAGTCCAGTACTTCGTTCAAGAGAAGAAGAATAAAGGTAATCTCTTTTACACTTCAGCTGTAGTTTTCAAACGTCACAGCATTTCAGTAAATGTGCTGGAACTCTGCTATTTTTGGGGCAACTTAACTTTCGAAATGAAGGAGCTTCAATTCGGTGTTTCTTCAAAAGGTGCCTTGTTTTAAACTGATTAGCGTCACCAAACTGCTCAGAACTGAAGAGCTTAAGTTGGCTCCGTATTCGAATTTTCCCGTTCCACCTTAAATGGAGCTGCAGATACGTAAAGCCTGTGGCGCCAGAATGTGGCTGCCGCGCCATTTAAGGTGGAACGGAAAAATTCGAAAAAGAAGCTGGCGAATAAGGAACACACACAGCCTCGTTCAGAACTGGCTTTTGGCAGGCAACTTTATTTTCATCTGATAAGCTAAAGTATTAAAATATTCATCTGTTTTAATAACGCAGATGTATACATTTCGATACAGTAGGACACTTATGTGTTTTATTAGAGGTTAAAGCACGTAGCACACAACCTCCCAACCTAAGACCAAACTGTGGTTAGCAGTGTATACAGTAGGAAATCATGATGTTTTAACATAATCAGAAAGTATAAATAGTAGAACCACAAAAAAGGTTGAGAACCTACTCATAATGGCCCTCTTCTCGGAAATCCTCAGTAAAAGACCAAAGATATATGTTTTTATGTTATAAAGGCAAACAAAGTGCAGTGATGTTTAATAAGCCAAACACATTTCCTTCCAAAAAGCCTTTAACATTTAAACAACCGAGTTAACAGAGCATTATAATAATCTTATATAATGTGTGATGTGGATCTGTAGTCACTGTAGAAGCTAAAAATAACTTAAAATATCATTTTAAGACACACATTGCATTGTGGGCGGTGCCATTGGAAAATATATGTAACTATATCAAAAACAGTTAGTCTGAGGCCTATTAGGAGGCCTGAGTAAGCCCAGTTTCTTTATCAGTGTCTAAAAGCATCTGGTTTTGATCTGCTGTGACTCAGAAAAGGAGAAAAGAGGAGGCAAAATCAATATTCACAAACAGCAATGTTCTTGGAGTAGTTTTGGTAGCACAACACTTCAGAAACAAAGGTCCTGGGAGTATTTCATAAAGCAGCATTTTTGAGATTGTTCAGTAGGAATGTCCCTCAGCTATTTTTGCTGTTGTACACGTTTGACAAGTTTATGCTTATACTATCTAGTAAACAGTAAACACTCCTGCATATTAATGCTCCTTGTATAGGCTTTATATTACACTTTCATTAATCTGCTTTTAACTGTAATATTAAAGCCTGATTAGTAGGGCCACAATTGATTTATGCTTACAATGTTCCTCTCCATGGAAATCTTCAGTAGAAGGTGAAGGATTTGTATGATATGAAGAGAAACAAGAGTGCAGTGCTGGGCTGGAGGCAGAGACAGTACCTGACCTTAGACACGATGTGTCCAGATCATGTTGAGGTCCTTATAACATTTTATCATTTTAACCTTCAAACTAGTGAAGTCGAGACATGTGGGAGCTTCAAATAAGTTCAATACTTTGTTTAAAAGCAAAAAGCTTTGTACCTTTCAAGCCCTCCTACATTGGTACTGATATAATAATAAGATATATAAATATTAATAAGATATATAAAGACATATAAAGCATTTATAAGGCAAATAATACATTTAGCATATTCATTTATACACCGTTTTAACTATTAAATAAAATATCAGTGCTGTCCAAAAAAAAAAAATATTTTTTTAATTGTATTTCCATTTTTTTCATTTTTTTCTCAATCATTTCAGCACAGCAACTGCTCTTTATATTGTGTGAAAATTTCATGATGAATGGACCATTAAAACCTTTTCTAAATTGCTTAGTCTCTTTATATTAAGCTACATTAAAAGTAAAACTTTTTGCAGATGATTTTTAAAATTGATTTCAATAGTTTAAAACCACAACAAGACATTCCTTAACATGTAATTGTATCCGCACAGTGATGTCAGACAATTCTGCAGAAAAAGGTTCATGAAATTGTGAAAAGCCCTCTCTGCCCACCCTGTCGCATTAGTCATACAAAGCATGTTCTAGACCACCTTCATTACATGCAGTGTAAAGAAGTTTTTTTTTCTTGAAGTATGAAGAAACAAAGGAATCAAAAATTTCTTTTAATTAGTGGGTTAGGTTTCTGTTTAGCGTCCCACAGTTTCTTCTTTACAGGCTAGACTATGTGAGGTCCCTCCTTTCATATTTAGTCAATAATACATAAAGTTGGCTTCTGTGAAAACACTGATAACAAAATATAGGTGTGGATTTTGTCAGTAAGGAAAATAGATACAAAGTAAAGGTGTTCAGTGATCTTTTCACGTTTGCAATGAAAATGGATCAATTCTGACACCACAGTGTACTTAAAAGGAACATTCTGGGTTCATTTAAGGTCAACACACACAGCATGCTTTTTGTATTATGATACCATGTAAGCCTAACTAACAAAAATGGCAAATTTTTAGACATCCCTACATACGTGAACAATTTATGGTTTATTTTTGATTAAAATAAAAAATGCCTCAGAATATGTAGAGTATGCATGCTCGGTGTGCCTTATACTTGGTCAGTGCAGCACATTATGAAGGTAATGTTTTCCCTATGCTGTGTTGTGTTATTGTTAACAGTAAGATAAAACTCATCTTTTTACGTAGCAAGAAATAGTAATTACTATGGAACTTGGTTGAAATGATACTGATACTGTATCACTGTTGGCACCGGTACTGGCATTAAAAATGCAGTAATTGTATCAGCACCTGCTCTGTGGTGGTCCTGGGGAGTTCTGACGACTGAAGAACAAGATGACAGGTGGCTAAAAAATGTACAGAGAATGCCATGTATGCATGTCGATGTTTAGGTAGACAGACAGACAGACAGATAGCCCCTGTTGTGCAAAGACCTTGCAATTTTGTCATTTTTTACTTTTTTTTTTTGCATAATCTGAGCTAATATTACTCTTTGCATTGTGCTAAAATTTAATGATCACCGGACCAATAGAAATAGTCCAATTAAAATTACTTGGAAACATATGTCTTTTCATTAACATCATAATCTAAGAATGTTTTTTCCTTCTCCTGTAAAGTTACCATTTTTGAAATATTAACCGCAACAATATAAAAATTTCACTTTCACTGAAGTCACCAGCGATTGCATGCACATACTGAACTGATGATTCTGGTTGATTTGGGATAAATCTTTTTTCCTTTCACATCACAGTTGAGTTTGGAGGGTGCACACCTATCTTAACCTGCAGATTTTTGTTCATAATTGTCTTATTCATTTCATGTAATGATGTGTCTTGACTTGCAGGGCAAGATGGCTCCTTGTTGTTAACAAATGAGGCTGGGCAAACTTGTAAGTGTTTAAAGTGTTTCAAATTGGTTTTTACTCTTTCTCACTTATACTAATGATAACAGTTATGGTAATCATAGGCTAATAATAAGACCCCAACATTGAGAACAGTGATAATGAGACAACTCTTCTTCTTTTTAGACTCAAAGATTGTTGCACCTGGAATCCATGTCTACCCTTTCACTTTTCAGATTCCCCTTATGTACGTATAAATTTACGTGGGTATTTTAGACTGAAAGAGACTTAAAGAGAAATTCAGCTGATTTTTCAAACTTTCTACATAAATCAGTAGTTGAGATGTAAACAAAGTCATTCTGAGTGGTTTGTTGTAAAATGCTCTGTTTCAGAGAAACACAGAGTCAAGATTGCTCACAGTGGTGATGATAGGAACCAGACGTCTGAAGAGTTTAATGCCTCTAAAAGGACCCTCACAAAAAGTTATTACACGTAATGGTTATGAATACACTGCCTGATGATGTGTGAGACATTGCTTTGCAATAGTTTTGGGATAAATATGGCCTAAATCTTTTTTTTATAAAACTCCCTTTCGTGGTGGAGAGGTATAAGTAAGGTAAAACAGTCCCCAACAAAAAAGTTATTTTTTCAGATTTACCACCATTTTGCTACGGAGCCCCTAAGGGGCCGTGGATAATAAAAAAAAAGTTAATGACATTGCATTCCCTCGCAAATGTTTTGCGTTCCCTTGCAAAAAAAAATATGCGTTCCCTTGCGAATGTTTTGCATTATGATGCAAACGATTTGCATTCACTTGCAAAAGCTTTGCTTTGCTTAAGCTCAGAGATGGAGCAGCTCATTGAATTTTATTTTGATCTTGGATTGAAATATAAAGACATAGTGTCACTTCTCAAAATCAAACATGATTATGTTATTAGTGAGCGCAAACTGGAACTGAGATCGTGTGTCCTCGTACAGTAAAAGCTACATTTACAGAGACTGCAGAGAACAATTGCTTAATAAACTCAGCATAGACTACCGAAACTGGGAAAACAGCTTTTAACGTTAGCTATGCTAAAAACTAATGTAGGCAATGTCGTTGGGCACCTCTGGTCCTACGTTTGCTTGTTGTCTGACAGCATATATTTTGCGAAGGAATGCAAAACATTTGCGTGGGAACACATTTTTTCTAAGGGAATGCATTTTTTTGCGAGGGAATGCAAAACATTTGCAAGGGAACGCAATGTCATGAATTTTTTAAACCACGCCCCCATAGGGGCTCCGTATTTTGCTGTCTGCAACACACATAAAAAAACTTGAAGATGTGTGTAGGTTTACTGGTGTGTTTGGATAGTAAATAAAAATGCTCTATCTCTTGTTATAGATATTGTGACTCCTGGTTCCTATCACCACCACTATAAAAAATCTGAGTCTGTAAGTTTCTCTACAATGAAGCATTCCATGTCAAACCACTCAGAATAACTTTGTTTACATGAATTATGATGAAATTTTGAAATATTAGTGCGACTCCCCTTTAATCTCTTAATCTCAAGACTCTAAGGTTTACACAGTACTAATTTAATCTTCTTTTTTGTGTACAGAGACATGCCTGCATCCTTCAAAGGCTACCATGGAAACGTTGATTACTTTTTGGAAGCTAAGCTGTCCAGGTCAATGCGGATATCCCGCAAAGCCAGTATATATTTTAACTATGTTCCCGAGGGAGACATGTCTATACCTGACTTGATGGTAGGCACGTCATAACATAATAGCTATATGACACAGCAGACTCGCACATTTGCGATGTGCGTTTATTGTTTCTTGTTTTCCATTGTTATTTAGATGCCTCAGTGTGGGAATACAGAGAAGAAGATGAAATTCTTCTCATCTGGGAGTGTGGCCATGAACATTTCCACAGAGAGGATGGGTTACCGTTTAGGTAAAGTGTCACAGACGTACAGTCACATGTAAAAAGTTTGAACACCCCTGGTGTTTTGTTGATTTTCGTAGTGCACTTCCTCCACAGAAGCACACGTGTGCGTTTTACTGCACAGTTTTTATTTATTAGTTTAACATAACATACAACATAAAATATAAAATACATAACCTTTGCATAGGCCGCATTTTGTGTTGTATTTTTTCTAATATCTAAATTTGTGAATATGGTTCAAAATAACATTTACAACATTGAATTCATTTACATTGAAAGTTTTTGTTTGACAGCAACAATATGTTCTCATGCTAGCTTTAGTGGCTTCATATTTACATATATAGACTAATTCTGGAATTGGCTACAGATGCCAATCAGTGTTTTCAGTTGATCTGTTGCTAGGGACAAAACTTTTCCTGCCAGTGTATAGGCTGTGTTCCTGTTCTTGTGATGTTGTTTTCAGATGTTGGTGGCTTCAAATCTGTATCGGTGGACAGAGAAGGTGAATGAATGAATGAGTGAATGAATGAATGAATGAATGAAGATCTGAGCTGAAGGAACTCATCTATACCCACTGAGCACTTGGCAATTCTCAAAACAGCCTCAGTTCTTCCTGACATGGATTCCACAAGATGTTGGAAACCTTCCTTTGAGATTCTGGTCCATGTTAGCATGATTGCATCATGCAATTCCTACAGATTTTTCGGGTGCACTTTCATGCTGTGAATCTCCCATTCTACCACATCCCAAAGGTGTACTGTTGGATTCAGATGTGGTGACTGGGAAAGGCCACTGAAGAGCACTGAGCTCATTGTCATGTTCATGAAAACAGTTTGAGATGACTTTTGCTTTGTGACGTGGTGCATTATCATGCTGGAATTAGCCATTAGAAGATGGGTATATTGTGGCTATGAGTGGATCACATGGTCAGCAACAATATCCAAATAGGCTGTGGCATTCAAGTGATGATCAGTTGGTATTAATGGGCCCAAAGTCTGCCAAGAAAACATTCCCCACACCATTACACCACCTCTACCAGCCTGAATTGTTGATACAAGGCAGGTTGGGTCCATGGATTCGTGCTGTTGGTGCCAAATTCTGAACCTACCGTCTGTGTGCCTGAGCAGAAATTGAGATTCACCGGACCAGGCTACATTTTTCCAGTCTTCAGCTGTCCAGGTTTGGTGCCCACTGTGCCCACTGCAGCCTTAGCTTGCTGTTTTTGGCTGACAGAAGTGAAACCCAACATGTTTTTTTTTTGCTGTTGTAGCCAACACCTCAAGGTTTGACATGTTGTGCATGTGTTGTGTCAAGCCATTTCTGCCAGCTTGAACCAGTCTGGCCATTCTTCGTTGATGTTTTTTCTTTAACGCACCATTCTGAGTAAACTCTAGACACTGTTGTGCATGGAAAATCCCAGGAGAACAGCAGTTATAGAAATAGTTAGTTGTAGAAATACATGGCCAAATCACTGAGATCACATTTCTCCCCATTCTGATGATTGATTTAAACATTACCATGATGCTGACCCGTATCTACATAGTTTATGCACTGCTGCCACGCGATTGGCTGATTAAATAATTGCATGAATGAGTAGGTGTGCATGTGTTCCTAATAAAGTGTTAGGTGAGTGTACATGCAGTTAACATCTTTGTCATTTTTTCATAGGGGAGGTACTGAAGGTAAGGATAGATATCGAGAACAACTCCTCTCAAACAGTCAAGCCAAAGTTCTGCTTCTACCAGAAGCAAAGCTTTTTTGCCTCGAAAAAAAGGAAACTTGCCATCAAAAAACTACTGAAATACAAAGGCAGCGCCATTGAACGGTCAACCAAGACGACTATGACTGAAGTGTTGTACATTCCAGAAGACACCTGTGTTTCCATCCTCAACTGCAAGGTACTTAAAGTGGAATATAGACTTAAGGTAGGCTACAATTTTTGACATTTTCCCCCACTTTTCTCCCTAATTTAGTGATATCCAGTTCAATTCCCTAGCTAGGTCTCTTCCAAATACATGATACTACAAGCACTGGGAAGGTTATTCTTATTTTTTAAGAACCAGAAGCAGACAGGCATGAAGTATAGCCAGTGGAGTATATTGCTTTGTCAGTAATTTAAAAAATTAATAATTATGGCTCTATTACTCGAAAAATCTCTCTGACACAGCAGGCCCTATCCAGTCTAGCATATCTCCATTTCCACCTGCATGATTGTTTTTTTGTGTGTCTGTCTCATGTACAAATAATAGATCGTCTAAATTTCCATTTCTTTTGTATAAAAAAATAAGATGGTTCGATTCCTTTTTCATTATTCCCTTGCTGCAATAACATAAATAGCAAGCTTACACCCTAAACCACTATTGAATAGCTAGCTAGCTAGTTAGCTAAATCAGACTGATATTCGCATTAAAATGGAATATTATGCTGTTCTACTTCTCCACTGTTACTTACATTGATTTAAAAGCATATATAGAGTCAAGCAAATTTTACTTCCATCTCTTATGAGTAAGCTTAGAAGCGCCGTACCTGCTAGTATGTGCTAGCTAACTTTAAAGATAGCAAATACCACAATGACATGATGCTAGATTAAATTCTGTTGCATTTAGTGATCTTTTGATAGTGCTTGGTGCCCATTTTGTCACTTGGCAGACTCTGTAAATAAGGTTAAATTGCGAGCTGCCAGGAGTGGTTTTGATAGATATCCATCAGCCTGAGCTCAAACAAACCACCATTACACACAGTTTCCCTCTAGAAAGAATGACAGCAGTAAACACTCAAAGTATGATTCAGCCCTTTTGAGCTTTTTCCTAAGGGGAAGGCCTCCCCTAATACAAGATGACACCCTTAAAGTTCATAGTGTGAAACATAGCTGGGTCTCTGTTGAAATATGTTACGATTTCTGTCTTACAAATGTTTCTAGCATGTAACTATACTCATGTTAAAGAAGCCCATAAATTAGAATCACAAATGTGCAAATTGCCAGCTTTTACTAATATTATGAGTAGTTTTGAGTTCAGAGCATAATGCTAAGGTTACTGTTATCTGTTGTGGACTGGTATATCTGAACATACCCATTTTCGCTTGAAACCAAGTAGACTCTGTAGTTGGCATCATGCCCATATTGGAAACTGTGGGTCTGAGCTGGATTTTTTCTAAGAGAACAATGAATGAGATTTTTGAAAAACCACTGCTTAGACCCAGAGTTACTTATATGAGAATGACACCAACTACAGAATCATAAGACAGCATCAGTGGTCAGTGTTGAAAGCTAAGACTGAAAGTATGTTTAGCCAATGGTGGGCAGTTCCTTCAATCACAATAAATTTCGGGAGTCTCTAAGAAGGTTTGGTCATGAAACTAAATCTGATTTTCATGTTTCTTTCCTCAAAATGTTCAGTAAATACTAGTTTACAATTTTGGGGTTTTACTGTTGTGTTAGATGTTGATTATTTAAAAAAAATAGCTTGCTAGTTATATTTTGATTATATCTCACATGCCTGCATGATGTTAAATGTTATATGGCATCACTGGGAGTAAGTGGTCGTCATCCTCCCACATGGTCCCATCAGCTTTTTTTGAAAAACATGATGTATGGGCTATAATATCATTAAGTTATATATCTTAGACCAGTTAGATGCTATATATACAGTTATATGCAAAATTTTGAGCAACTCTGGTAAAATTACAAATTGTTGGTTTTCTAAGTACACATCCTCTACAGAGAACATGTTTTCTGCACATTTTTAATACACAATGGACACAATGTTATTCTGCTGAATTGAACGCATTGGAAAAAAAGCATACAATGCGGCCTGTGAAAATGTTATGGCACATTTTATGGTTTCATTTTTTTCCAATATATTAAACTCAGCAAATAAATAGAAGTTGCGCACCATACCTGTATAATTGTGCACTATATAGAATGCCATATTTAAGTTTGTTCCCTGTAGAGTATGTTTGAGTATGAATTTATTATTAACTTTTAAAATGTAACTATTTATTATTCATTTAAAAAAATCAACAAAACATGTCATTTGACTGGGGCTGTTCAAACGTTTGCACACAACTGTGCATAGCCATAGTTTGTGCCTTCAACATGGTGGTAGTATGAGGGAAGATTGATTGAGGGAGATGGGGAGAACTCTGAGAACTTGGGCTGGAGTTTGGGCTGAGCAGCTTCTGCCTGTAGCTAGAAGGCCAGATCCCCCCTTATAGTTGTACTAGGACTGATGTAGGACATAGGAACAGGGAGGAGATGGGGTGGCAGTGGGGATTGTGAACACTTTCTCACGGGAATGGAAGGTGAGGATGTGAATTTATAGGGCGTTAGATTGGAAGAAGGAGGGGTTTCAGGCATGCCCCCCCCCCGACTTCAGTTATAACATAACCACATATATAGTTCTGTAATGCACTGGTCACTGAGAGTGGAGAAAGTTCAGTAAAGACCCCCTGCACTGTTTTGAAAGGTTCTATAAAAAGCATCAATTCCGGTAATATTTGAAACTGAAGATGAGATGCCAAGCTTGGTGAAATTATTCAGCATAAAAACTGCTTGTTTTAAAATGTTTAGGCATTTTATTTTATTCTGTTAAAATGTTGTAACTGCTGTCATTTTACAATTCTTATAACATTCTAAATGCAAAATTTCGATTGTCTTTGCAGCAGATAATACTGACCTCATTTGCCCCAATGGCCCAACCACATTGGCCCAATGATGCCTTAGGACATCTTTTATTTTTTTCTTTAAACATATTTTTCTTCAAAATTGTTTGTCCTGATTTTTATTTTTGGAAGTAACCAAAGCTTGTTTACAAAGGGGTGTATTTTTCCCACAAGTAAAAAATAAAATGGGCTAGAAAGGGTGAATCGTTATTCTGTTGTTTTGAAGAAATCTGCAGGGCAAAGCTAGAGGGAACACTACTTGACAACTCTCGAGAACCCTCGAGCTATTCTCTTTCTGACGCTCGATTTTTCTTACGTATTTGTAATTAAAACATGCTATGGTTCATCACAGTTCTCCTAACAGTTTATAATTAAAATACATTTGCTATTTAAATACAAACAAATATCTGTAAATGTCTTGTGAAGTTCTTTTGTAAGGTAGTCCTCTTTTCTAATCATTCCTCTGCACGTTTTCTTTCAGGTCTGTCTGGATGTGAAATTTGCTTCTAATCCAGAAATCAAGCTGCCAGTGGTGCTTCTTTGCCAGAAAGAAACCAGCGCTGCAGCACCTGTGGATATGCACATTGGATTTGATTCTTGGACCAGCAGCCAGGCAGGGTGGAATAGCTCTGCTGATTATAGTACTGTTCATGGAAGAAATCAATCATTGAATAGAGTTCAATGAAAACTGAAGAGGAGCACTTTTCATGTGAGACCACTTTAAAATGGACAATCTTTACAGCCTTAAAAGTGACTCTAAAATATCCATCCAGATTTTTGACTACTTACATCATTCTGTTTCATGTAGGTGAAGTGAGAAATGTAAATGTTATACTGTGAAAGACCAAAAAATATTTTAACTATTCGTACTTTCTTCTGTTCCTCTAGTTCTCCTGAATGTTTACAGGTAACACCATCAGAAACTACAGTTTTCCAATAGAAGACGACCTCAGCATTCTCCCTAGGACTCAAACCCACAACCTATCCATTTATTCATTCTAATTTATCACTACAGTACTCACTGCCTCCTTCAGTCGGGTTTCAGCAGAGTTTAGATTTGCTCCTGTTTTAGTGGAACTGTGGGATGATGCAGTTGCATTGTTTTTAATGTAATTTTAATCGTTTACAGTTTACTTTAATACTTTGCTGTCTTCATTACTCTAAAGGTACAATTATGCATTTTTAAATACTTTTAAGCGAGAGATTTTCTACTTATGCAATTGTTAATATTTTTATATTAAATTGTAACCCCCTCGTCAGTGTGTGCATATGCATGACAATCATTAAGGCATAAGAATCTGAGAATTAAGGCAGCTCTTAGATTCCATGACTTCTGATATACTGCCTCATACATTACATGTTTTAATCTACTGTCTCTGCTTTTTGGAGGTTTATTTGCTGATGGTGGCCTCATTACATGTTCACATCAGCTTATATCTGAAACTCTGAGAGGTGTCTTTTCCTCTCAAGTGTACTCCTCGAAGGTTAGTTTCATGAAGCTAATGTTGAGAATATCTAGTTTAATGTACTTTCTGAAGTAAGATGAAAAAAAAATTCTATCAAGCATTTTCATAATCTCAAGCTGTGAGCTGTAGGCCTACGATTGTGCAAACAGCAGCATCTAGTGGCTGACTTTGTGCTTTCACTAAGGGATTCTGAAGAATGGCATATAACTCCTGGGTAAAGCTTTTCTCTCTAATGAAGCTTTCTTATCACATGGAGATTCCCCTGTGCTGTGGAGTGACTACCAGACCACTTTAAATGAAGTCAGCCATGTTGCTATTGTCAACCCAATGCAGCAGTTCTCTCAGTTTTCTCCATAGTCCACACCTTTAAAGGCAATGATTGTATTGAGTCATCACAACTCAAAGAACCATTTGAATGCTTAAATGGTTCTTTGCATGGTGAAATGCTTCTTCTCTGTGATGGAGAACCTGTTGTATGTAGTTCCTTAAAGCAGTGGTTTTCAAACCAGTCCTCAGGGATCCCCACATTTTTGCTCTTTTCTTGTGTTTTGCATTGCAGCAAAGATCTGGACTGTTTGGGCTTCTGTCATGACCACTGCTTTACCACTGCTTTAAATAACGTTTCAAAAACAGTTCTATATAGCATGACTATTGTTACAAGTTATAGAATCCTTTTTGGCACTATATAGAACAGTTTTGCTGAAGAGTGCATCCTTAAACTTACACTAGTGTTTAAAAGTTTGGAATCACTGTCCTAATAATTGCTGTGCAGTGATAACGTACACAGTATATATACTGAAATGCTATACCCCAAAGATGTTTTATTCAGAATTTCAAGTTTTTTGAGAAGAGTTTTTAAAAAAATATTCAATTATGTGGTTCTACATATAACCTTTTTGAAAATGGTCCTATAAAGCACCAAAATGCGTCCATTTTCAAAAAGGTTCTATATAGAACTATATACAACACACTCTCCATTAATCTGAAGAAACATTTCACCATGCAAATAACCATTCAAGCATGAAATGGTTCTGTATAGAACCATTGCTTTACTAAAGAACCTATGAAAATGCTCTTTTTTAAAGCGTGTAGAGTAGCAGCATCATAATAGAATCAGCCACTTTTTTATTGTGTTGAAAATGGTCATCCTGAACTTTGGTGGTTTGTGGTTCCAGACCTCTAAATACTGTGTGTAATAGGCTGTTATGGTGGATGGGTGAACCTTTTTGCACTTTACACAAATACTTTGCACTTTTCTTTTTTTTAAAAATGTGTGTATGTGTGAATGTCTACAAGAATGGATGTCTGCATGTGTCTGTGACATTGTGTATTCATGGTAGACTTCCGGTATGGGAATGTTTCTGTGACTATGAGCACTTTCATGTCTTAAAACATTTTCATATTCAAAATTGCTTTTTTTAATGTAATGAGCTAATGTAGTTTATAAACAAATAAATGTCTGTCCTACATTTATTTGTCCTTACTGTGACACTGACCACATAACCTAAAGTGTTTTTCATGGTCTTAAGGACAAAAGAATGGGAAACTTGATCTAGATGTCATTGGATTGACAGAAAAGTTAAATAAATGTAATCATTTCATATTCAGTAATGAACAGTGTTTTTGATAAATGCTGCTATTGCGCCCAGCGGTAAACAAAAATGTTCCAAAGCTGATTTTTTTGCCATACACACTGCTAGAAAAACCAGCATGGACCAGCACACCTGGTCACCAGCAAAACCAGTCTATGTTGTGCTTTGTTGTGCTGGTCAGAAGCAATCCAAGTTATTAGGCTGATCACCAGCCAAACCAGCACCAGACCAGGACCAGACAAGCTTGACCAGCTTAGACCAGCATAGAATGCATTTTTCCTCCAAGCATCGCTGAATCCTCTGAATTACGAAGTTATTAATGATCCTAAATACAACTATTGCTACATGCCAGCTAACACTGCTGCGCACTGATTAAGTTTCTTTGGCAGTAGTATCCTACAATTAGATAGTGTTTTCATAGTGTAGAGTTGAAGTACAGTATTAAACCTACTTTTGTGCAATGTCATTTCAATGTACAGGTGTGTTAGCTTGCTTATGGCATACATGTAGCATTATCTGTATTTCAACCTTGTAACTCAGAAAATCCAGTGACATTCGGGTAGGGGTTGGGTGGGGACTATAAAGGACAAAATGTATTAGGTTTGGAACATTTTTGTTTAACACAAGGTTCACTGAGGCGATTTTTGAAAAGCATTCATTTCTCTTATAGAGAAAATGTGTTTAGATCCAGATTTCCTAACATGGGCAAGACGCCGACTACAGAATGATGTAACAGCAACTGTTTCAATTGTCAACTACAGTGTATTGTGAGGTAGTGGACACTTGAAATAGATGGTTCTTCAAGGGTTCTTTGATAAAGGCAATGAGTCTATTATAACCATGAGTTCTATACAGAACCATTACATGTGTAAATTCTTCTTTAGTTTGATGGAGAATGGTTCAATATAGCACCAAAAAGGGTTCTTCTATTGCTACAAGCTTGACATCATTACAGTAGAATAAGTGGTATGCAGAACCATTTTCAAAAAGGTGCTATATGGAACCATATACAACACATTCTCCATCAATCTGATGGAGGCCGCCGTGCAAAGAACCAGGTTTATTTTTTTTTACAGAACTCATGGTTCTAAATAGAACCATTGCCTTTACTAAAGAACCCATAAAAAGAACCATCTTTTTAAGTGTGTATGATTGAAGTGCAAACATAGTTGGCCAATTAAGCCTGATTCTGAAATATTTGCTGCCCCGGTGCTGCATACGACCCCCCAAATCCCACCAAAAAAACACGAACCCCCCCCACCTCTACACCTCCAGAGCAGAAGTGCAGATCTGAAACCAGCACTCGGCGCTCAGCCGCTGACTGTCCTTCCTCACAGACTGTTTTTGGAACGTGGGGGAGGGGATATGGGGGCGTGGCTTCGGCCGTCTCCCGGCCCACGGCCCGCGAGTTACCCATGACAACCGCTCGAGCCCGCTGGCAACTCCCCGCCTTCGTTGGTTGGGGTTGCTATGGCGACTCCCCGCGGGACTCCACCCCGCCCCCCGCTCAGAAACGGCAGCAGGAGCGTCCAGCTCAGCTCGGCCGCAGAGCCGCAGGGCTGCAGGGGAGACGAGCTGCCGCCCAGCCCGGAGAGCCGCGGCTCTGAAGAGGGCCTCAGCGCGGTGAGTCAACGGAAACTGGGCTGAGGCTACTTGAACTACACGCCGGCCCTCCGGTACCTAGAGCTGTGACGTGTAGTTGGTCGAAAATAAATAAATAAAACAAAACACATTCTCGCCGTAGGATGTTCTTGGCTGTTTGTGTGTGAGGCGAGTTAGCTTAGCTGGATGCCCCCCTGCTCTCCGCTCCACACCCCCACTTCATCCTGTTTGTGGTTAAGGAAAATTACATTTCAAATGTTTTATTCATTTTCTCCACGACTTTGTCCTCAGAATGAGCTGTGGAATTAAGCAACAGTGTGAACTTCCAAATCAGCCTACATGAGCTACACAGTGAAGTACATGTAGACCTCATTATAGTGTTACAGCTACATCCAGATAAAATTTATTATCCCTTCATTTACTTTGCCAAACAGCTCCCCTGGCTGTTCCTGTGACACCAGGTACAAATCACTGGTGTCACGAGCTGTTAAGTCTCCTATAACAGCAGTCAGGGTTTCTAGTCTCTCTTGCCTTCTACAGTCCAAATGACTGAAATCAGTAACACTCTCAATTAAACGTATTACTTTACGCCGCGTGTCCATTTCCCGTGTCTGTACACAGCATACTCGGACTTACAAATGAAGCAGGGCTCTATTAAATGCTTTATCCATATAATGAAACGCGTTCAACAAGCACATTAAACTGAAGGAGTTTGTTGAGAGCTCTCTTTAGTGGAGGCCCAGCTCTCTGCTTCAGAGTGGCTCATTCAAAGACACTGTACTCATATTAAGATTACACAGATGGTCTTGCTGCGGTGGCTGGAGTGCGTTTAAAAAGGTTACAATCTGTCCATCCACTGAGACTAGAGAGCCCTTTTCAGCCTTGTAATTGCTACAAGCTGTGTCCCCTTGACAGCCAGGAACACGTCTGAGACTTCTTGTAAACGTGATACCACTTAATATTTATGTCTATATATAAAATCAACTGATTCCAAATAAAAGGGATTTTCTTCTTCTTGAAGTATTTATTTTGGAAAAGCATAAGAACTTCTCACAGAAACTTACGCCACTGCTATTGTTATCAATGTAAGTGCCGAAAAGTTTTCTATTGGTTTTCTATTTGTCAATAAAATGCATCTCAATTCCTGATTATAAAAAGTGACACAAGGCCTTTTGTTGGCAATATGAAAGGCAATTAGACAAAACATTCTATACTAATGCAAATGTATAATTGCTGATTCCTTAACTTGTAAATTCGTGCATTACTACAACTATGACATTACAACTACAACTACTAATCAAATCAGACTACAAGGATGATTACAGTACTTGCAACAATTAACTTTGGATAACAAATCCTCAGTATCCAATGTGTCGCATAACCAATTGAGAACAGAAACATCAACGTAAACAGTAGAAAGTAAAAAAAAAACAAAACAAACCAAACAAAAAAAAAAAGGAAGGAAGGCTTATTTATGGAATTCACTGAAGCACCCTCCCCGGCACAGGTGTACGTTACAGATCTTGCAGCCAAACACACTCTCGTGCCTCAGGCCTTTGTTAGTGCAGTTCCGGCAGCGGCGTGAGCGTTCTGACATGCGCTCCAGCCGGTGGCCGTACTCCAGGGGTGAGTCAGCGTGGCGTTTGCGGGCAGCCCGCTCCATGCCCCGGGCACCCTGATAGTCCCCAATTAGCTGCTGTGCCAGACGCACACGGAAATGGCGCTGCGTGAACTCCTTGCCATTAAAGCCAGCAGGCGGTACCCCACCACGGCTCTCGCGCAGAATGATGTAGGCATTGACGATGCACAGGTTGACATAGAACCACAGGAAGTAGCGCCACCACTTTTTGCACGGCCGCCCCACCTGGTAGCACTCCCTCAGCTGGTCACACAGGTCCACACCGCGCATATTCTCCTGGTACAGAAGCAGCGGAAGCGGGCGAGGGATCCCGAGGGCCGACAGACTGCTGCCATCCCCGTCACTCCCATCTCCGTCCCGCTTGTTGCCAGGCCCGATGCCCACAATGCCAGGCGCGGAGTTGGACGATAAACAGCTGACTACTTTGGCGTCCTTGGTGATGGTGGCCACCAGGTTGCCACGCTGGCACTGGTAGAACTCACCCGGCTCCAGCTTGCCGACACTGCGGGGCCTGAGGGCGTCAGGGTAGCCACGGCGGTATGGGTTGGTGGGGCCGCAGGCGTAAAGTCCATCCTGCAGGAGGCGCTGCAGAAGCGGCACTGAGGTGAAGAAGCTGTCCATGAAGAGGTGATGATGCCGACCCTCCAGACCCCTGACCAGGGACGTGACCACGCGGTGGCCCAGTGCAGCGGTAGCGGCGTCGTCACCCGGCTTGCCCACGTGCAGTCGGGTGCGATGGCAGTAGCCCGAGCGTGAGTCACAAAGCATCCACACTTTCAGACCCTTCCGCAAAGGCTTGGAGGGCATGTACTGTGTTGGCGAGAAGCGGCCCTTAGTGGCAATGGCACACTCGTCAATAGTCAAGCACCGGTTGGGCAAATAGGTGTCCCACATAGTGTTCCCTACCATGTCCAGCAGGGGCCGGATTTTATACAGGCCATCATACCCAAGCTCACCTTTGGAGG